GAAGATGGCTAAGAGTTTATTTTATGCTTTGATGATAAGCACTACTGGGAACTATGATTCTTAAGAGATCTCATTCAGAAGAAGAAAGAACACCCAAACCAATGAAGGAATATGAGACCATTTGAGGTTTGCCAAAGGTGTTGAAAAGCCTAGTAAAAGAAATGAGGCTTCTATTTCATTTTGTCAAAGGTGTTGAAAAGCGTAGCAAAGAAAACGGAGCTTCTATTTCATTTAATTTGACCTTTTGTGGGCACACCTTGGGGGTTGGGTTGGCATCTCTTACTCTTATGCTTTTTCTCAATGGCTTATATGGATTTGCATGCTTCGGATGTTGATCTAACTTAGACGAAACAGGAAGAATAAAGCCTTAAACAAAGACACGTATGAAAAACTTTTACCTACTCCTCACTAACTTCAAGAAGCAAGAAGAAATTTATCCCATCTTGGCAATTATTATAGTATCATGGTAAAGGAAAAAAGAAAAGTTATCAGGATTCAAGAACTTACGATGGCTGTAAGTCTTGTACTGTAAAAGAATATCTCTATAACTGTCTAATCTTATGCAGATCTTGTACAGCAAATTAGAGAGAGCAAGAGACTAAAAAGGAAGTAGTTGAGTAAAAGACTGAGAGGGAGACAAAGAGTAGAAATGGGTCACGGTATGGGTAGGGTGGGTTAGAAAAAGTGAATTAAATTTAGGATTTTTTTTAGAGAAATATACATATTTACCCTTAGTTATTATAAGATCAGTTAATTCGGTTATTAATTTTGAAAATTGATAACCAATCAATTTAACCAATTTAATCGATCTCAAAATCGACTATAATTAAAAATCGATTAGACCAAACCGAAATGACCATATTTCATTAATTTTGGTCGATTAAATCAATTGGAACTGATATCTGCTCACTCTTAATATTACCTGAAGAAAAAGATACTATTATCAGATCCATTTTGAGGGATGAAGTAAAAAATGTCATGTTTTCAATTAAGAGTGATAAAACACTAAGCCCAAATGGGTTCACAGCCCATTTCTTTAAGCAAGCATAGTCTATTATTGGAGAAGATGTGATTAATGCTATACTACACTACTTTGACATAAGAAAAATGCATATTGCCTTTAATTCAACAATTGTAACACTAGTATTTAAGAATATAAGCCCCAGTAGTATAAAAGATTATAGGCTAATTTCTTATTGCACAATAATGTACAAGTTGTCATACAAATTCTAGCAAATAGGCTTAAGAAGCTTCTATCATGCATCATCAGTGAAAGCCAAAGTGCATTTATAGAGATAAGCGTTGGCTAAAAAGCCTCAATCCAATCAAGCCAGCGAAAGTAAAATTAAATAATTAATTAATTACACAAAACATAATAATTTAAAGTGATTTGATCCAACTGATCTACTTTCACGGATGAAAAATAAGATCCACTAGTTATAGAGAACTATAAATATACATCAAATTAATCTCACTCAACAATCAATAACCATAGGCCCCTTCAATCTCTTTTAATCCTATGGAGTATTCTCAACCCAAATAAATACAAACTCATATACATTCATGCACTTATATCTATGTGGACCATCTCAGTCTCCTCTAGTCCACTTCTACATATACACCTGTACTTATGTTGACCCTCTCAATCTCTTATAGTTCACTCTAACATACACACTCATAAGACATTAATCTCTGCTAGTCTTATAGGGTATCTATCTTATAAAATCTTATAACTCTTTTATATTTTTTTCTCATACCTAACCCTATAAAGACTTTATCTATTTATAAGTATATAAACTTACCTATTAAGAATCTTTTTTCTCTTAAAATTCTTCTTTTACAAGTCTTCTTATCCATCAAACAATATCTAATCAATTCCAAACAAATTTTTTATGAGATTTGAGTCACTATTCCTAATAATCTTCACCTTAGCTCAAATTTTATCAAATCATCTGTCTTCATGCTCGATAGCTTGGCTCTACCTGTAATGAAAATCTTGTAACAATCTTCTCTATGTGTCTTCACATTTCATACAAACTGATCAATTAAAGCTTAAACTCGAACTCTTTCTTGAATCGAGCTGCTCTAAGCTTGTATCTCTTCATGTCTTGAACCATGTTCTAATATCACTTATTAGAGATCACCACAGCTCTAATACTACTTATTAGGCTAAAAGGCTTCTAATCAATCAAGCTAGCAAAAGTAAAATCAAACAATTAATCATCACATAAAAAATAACAATTTAATGTGGTTTAGTCCAAGTAACTTACGTCTACGAATGAAAAATAAGATCCACTAGTTGTAAAAAATTACAAACATACATCAAATCAATCTCACTCAATAATCAATACCCATAAGCCATCTTAATATTCTCTAGTCCTATAGAGTATTCTTAACCCAAATAAATATAAACCCATCTACACTAATGCATCCATATCTATATGGATTATCTCAGTCTCCTCTAGTCCACTTCAACATACATACCTATATTTATGTGGACCCTTTTATTCTCTTGTAGTCTACTTTAATATACAGATTCATAAAGACGTTAATCTCTGCTAGTCCTATGGGTGTTTATCCTATAAAATCTTATAACTCTCTTACATCTTGTTCTCATACCTAACCCTATAGAGACTTCACCTATTTATAAGTATAAAAATTTACCTATTAAGAATCCCTTTTCTTTTAAAATTCTTTTTTTGTGAGTCTTTTTATCCATCAAGCAATATCCAACAAATTTCAAATAAATCTCTTATGGGATTTGAGTCACTATTCCCAATAATAAAGAGTATTATGGATAATATGTTCATGGTACAAAAGATGGGTAAGGAGAATGGCAAATCAAAATTGTCTCTAAGATGCTCTATTAAAATTGATTTGTAAAAAGCGTTTGACACAGTTGACTGGAGTTTCATCAAAGTTGTCCTAGTAGCCATTAGGTTGCCTTCATAATTTGTAGAATGGATCATAGGATGCAATGCAACCTCTATGTTCTCAATTTCATTCAATGGAAGGTTAATTGGTTATTTTCAAGGAGCTAAGGGAATAAGACAAAGGGATCCCCTCTTTCCTTACTTGTTTGCATTGGCCATGAACATACTGTCGAAAATGTTAAATGCTGCAGCAAAACAAGGACTCTTTACCTATTAACCTAAGTGCAAAAATATTAGGTTAACACATTTGTGTTTTGCTAATAGCCTATTGATATTTGTAAATGGAAACAAAGATTCCATCATCGAAATCAAGAAGGTGAGGCAAGTGTTTTATTCATTCTCTGGATTACAGCTCAACTGTGAAAAAAGTAAGCTATATGCCTCGAGAGTGAGTAGAAAAGAAGTGTAGGTAATTCAGCAAGCAACAGGGTTTAGGATAAGCTTATTGCTAGTAATGTATTTGGGAGTGCTGTTGGTAACAATAAGACTTACAGAGAAAGATTGTGCCCCACTGCTAGGAAAGATTATAGCAAAAATTAAAGGATTGGCTGTTAAGCATTTATCCTGTGTTGAAAAGCTACAATTAATTAAGTCAGTATTGTTTAACTTGCAAAACTATTGGTGCAGACACGTTGTATTACCAAAGCATGTGATCAAGAAGATTAATCAGCAATGCTCAAGCTTCTTTTGGAAAGGAAATGAAGAATCAACTAAAGGAGTAAGGATTAGCTGGGAGGCAATTTGCTACCCAAAGTCAGAAGGTAGGTTGGGGCCAAAGAATTCTTTAGTATGGGACAAAGCTTGCTTACTGAGGAATATATGGTCTCTACTATCCAAAGTTGAATCATTATGGATAGCATGGATTAAAGCATAGTAGTTGCAGTTGGAAGAAGCTGCTTCAGTTAAGGCATGTTGCTCGACAGTTCATAAAACAAGATAATGGTATTGAGATGTGGCCATTTCCTAGGAATTGTTACTCAGTAGCAACAATGTGAGATGAGTTGAGGCCTAAGCAGGGGAAGGTTGAATGGTATAAGCTTATTTGATTCCAATACCATGTACCAAAACACTCCTTAATCGCTTGGATGACTATTCTAAATCGATTGCCAACAAGAGATAGATTGAAAGCATGGGGAATGGAGGTGGATGAACAATGCTACTTGTGCCAACAGGGAAGAGAATCCATGGATCACTTGTTTTTTGAATGAGGGTTTACAAAAATTAGCTGGCAAGGAATATTATAGAAATCCAAGATTAGAAGAGTGGGAGACTGGGCTGCTGAATTACATTGGGCAGTTAGTAAAATGAAAGGGGAAGCATTAATCTTGGTCATCTTGCGTATTGCATGGAGTGCCTGTATCTGTCAGATACGGAGAGAAAAGAACTACATATTGTATAAGAAGAAAAAGAAAACAAAGGAGCAAATGATTGATTGGGTTAAAAATGCTATCAAAAACTGGCTAGATGGCCTGCATTCAGTGGCTGTTAACCGGTTAAATGAATTATGTGCTGCTTGAAACATAAATACCAATATACTGAATATAATGTAGATAATAAAGATTAATAGATTACATTATAAGAAATAATTGCAAAGGTTATTCAATATATCAAAATGGTAATCGTACTAAAACAAAAATTTGCTATCATTAGATAAATAAAAAAAATTATGCATTCAAAATAATACCCGTTAAAATTTATCAAATAAACTCTAACTCCAAGTCTTTAGAATGAAGTAAAGGATTCTTCACAGTTGGGCCTACCGCTTCTTTGTGAAGGGCAAACAGTTGAACGTTGAAACTTTTACCTTAGGATTGGAATCTCTTGAAGTAAACAGAGTGGGGCCTTTCTACTTTTCTCCTCCCAACCTAAATAAACTCTATAAATAAGGGTTCGAGACCTCTAAACCTAGGCTTGAAGACGCCACTACAAAAGCATCTCCCAAGACCCCCTCCTTCTTCCTCTTGTCCGAAAAAGCTAACGTAACTCTTTTCTCCTCAACTCTCAAAGACTGGACCTCTCATCTTTCGTACTCAAAAAAAGCATGGTCGGACCTAACCACATCATCAAATTCCTCTGTAGTTACGGCGGAAAAATCCTCCCTCGTTACCCTGACGGTAAACTCCGTTATCACGGTGGTGAAACCCGTGTCCTCGCCGTTGATCGCTCCATTTCCTTCTCCGGTCAGTACCCTTTTTATTCTTTCATCTACCAATTTTTTTCTCTATATATCTTTGCGCTTATTTTTTGAAGTAATATAGTTTAAGTTGGTCAAAAGTTATTCTTTACAAAAACTAGTATATATTATATGGTACAGAGCTGTCGTTGAAGATGGGAGAGATGTGTGGGACAGCGGTGAGTCTACGTTGCCAGTTGCCAACAGAGGATCTAGACGCGCTGGTTTCGATCACTTCCGATGAGGATCTCGCGAATCTCATCGAGGAATATGATCGCGTAGCGTCGCCACCATCTTCGTTAAAGATCAGAGCTTTCCTTTCGCTGCCAAAATCCACCAAAAAACCAATTTCTCCTCCTTCATCATCGGCTTCGTGTTCAAAGTTATCATTTTCATCCGCTCCCAGGTTCTCCTGCATACGTCAGATCTCGAGGGCTTCCGTCGTCTTCCCTCCTTGCTCGGAGAAATCTGGGGGGAAGAATATCCCTTACTATGGTTACCATGTTCACCATGGCAAACCTATTCATATTTACCCTATTCATAACGGGAATCACTGGCAATAGCAGCAGTCCAAAAGAAATGAAGGATCATAATTTATTGGCCCTGTCATGATCCTGTTTGAATTGGCGAAGAACAAGTAAAAGAATACCACCCATAGAAGAGAAAAAAACAATGCTATATTATGTATTTGGAACTGTAATCGTTTAAGGAGTACTGCTTTTGATGATGCGTGGCCATTAATGAATTTTCCACTGAAGTTTCGTTCTGGATCACCTCCCCAAAAGCCCAAATCTTGTTTTCTAATGGTGATTTTTTTTCTTTTCTGTAATGTTCATTGGCCAGTTGCATTCACTTGATTGGTTTACAGCTCCCCCAATTATTTTTCTTCAATTTTGGGGCTGTTAGGGATAATTCTCCGTTCTGTTAAAGCGCCATTAGTTTGCACGCAATCAGTTAACAGCAGATGTTTGCGTGCCACGTTCCTTTCCATTATCCTCAACATCTTCTTGTCTTTGGTTTAACATGTGTTCGCTCGCGTGTGACGCTTTCACCGGCAATATCCTCATCCGTCTTCTCCGTCACCCTTTTTTTTTTTTTATCTGTTCAGACCTCGTAATTCCTTTTTGGCACTTTCGTTTTCCTGGTTTTGCTTTTGATTTTCCGCGTAACTTTTCTGGGTTTTTTTTTCATTATATTTATATTTTTTGTGCTTTAACGTTTGATAGTGTTTGATTGTAATGCCATAACTCTGATGATTTTGCAGGTTATTAATGAAACGCCGAGCAGCCTTTGAATGATCCGAGGTAGCAATGGGCGGAATGTAGTGTAAGTTGCGCTTTTACCGTATTCCCCTTCTTGGTTTCTTATTACTTTCTTCATTATCACTTAGTGTACTTTTCTGTCTAAAATTTTCTGTACTTGTTTATTGTAGTTTTTATACAATATTTTCGTGCCCAGAATAATAAGGAAACCCCATTTGTATTTCATGTTTGTGTTTTTATTACAAGATTGTACTAAATTTCATGTTTTATTTATTTTATGTTAAACATATATAAATTATGAAAATTATTATATTATAATTCATATTAATATATCAAATATAAAATTTATTTTTTATTTTTATTAAATTTATAAATAATTTTTATCAAAATTTTAAACTGTAATAATTTTTTATTTTTTATTATTTTTATATAATATTGTATCTAAAATTATCATATATATTTTTATTACAAAGATTTAATTCAAAATCAACAAGTAATATTCAAATATGGTGTTTGTAACTTAGTTGAATATGTAAGATACGTTTAATCTATAAGATGATGATGATGAATCATTTGAATTCAAGCTCATGTCATTTTCTGTATTTCTGTATCTTTACCACCTTCCGACGCATTGACAGATAAAGCAACTATTTCCTGTACTAGATAAATAATCGTTTGGCTGGTAATATCTATCAAAAGCAAAATATTGAATAACACACTTCAACCCTACTAGTACAAATTTCTTAGATTTGAGCTATTTTTCTAGCTGCTCGACGATCACTAACTCCAAATACAGGGCTTTGATTACCACATAGGATAAGTCCAAACTTATTAAAACCATTAGTGATGAACGGAGATTATTCTGGTTTCTGAATCTTGTAGTACTAAATACTGTATGGTAAGATTTTGATGATTTGGGTGTCCGATTGTATCTTCTGTTCAATGATTTGATATTTTGTTCCCGTTGATCTTGATGCTAAATTATGGGCCATAGCTAACTCCTGAACAGTGATTTTCAGTTTTTACCAGATTCGATGTATTAATTGCAAGGGGGCAAAGCAGCCAGCGCAGCAATGCTTGTGTCAACTACCAAACAAAATCCCAAGTAGCAATAGCAATAGGGGACCATTGGAAGAACCTGATGAGTCATTACCGAAACGCGTTGAATATGCATGGAGGGGTCGAAAGCCATGAAATCGTCCCATTTAATAGCTGGTATATATAAACTGACGAAGGTCCGTCTCAACGATATAATAATAGGTAAGAGTAATTTCGTTAAAATAAAGCCAAAAAAGAGAAAATTGAGAATATGAAATCAGAAAACAAAAGAAAATGAGTTCCCCTTAATCCAAGACAAAGAACAGGAAGAACAAAGGGCTGCTAACTATACAAGTCCATGATTTTTGGTTCTCCACTCACGTATCATTCAAAAAGGAAGATTCCCTTTGCTGTCCCATGCAATTTTGGAGATATATGAAGGATTCATTTGCAATATTAAAATTGAATTAAGGTTATCCTACCCCACCATGTGCGATCTTTTCATTTTTTCTTTTTCCTATTGTTTTTCCTCCTAACATGAACATGATTAAAAAGAAAAACTATACTAAAATGGATGCCACCGAGACAGCATGAATTTGGCAAGTCTATTTTTGACAATGAGTGCTGTGACTGTGAGGTCACCATTGATGATATCGGAGTTGAAACCTTTGATTGGTGATAATGAGCAAGAGGCCAGGGTGTGGCTGAAAGCCAGGCACTGATGGTGAAGCTTGAGTGGCATTGTGGCTTTAACTGTTTAGGGAACCTTTCGAGTATGGACAAGATAAGGATGCTTGATCTGAATTATTGGAGAGTGGAGAAGAACATTGCAGGCAATTACTTAAAAATCAAAATGAGAAATACAGAGAAGATTATTTATAAAAATGGGGATGGAGACAGAGATAAATATTTGCCTAAGAAAAAAGTTTGTTTTCTTTTTTTTTTTTTAACTTTAATGAAAAATAAAAAAAAGGAAAATATCAAATTTATCTTGTATCTAGTTATCTATGAATGAAAATAAAATATTTTATTTAAACTAAAAATATTTTGTCAAGAATTTTATTATTTTTTATCTTTTAATATATAAATAATACTTTATTTCTAATTCCAAGAAAGGATAGCAGCAATAATTAAATAAAAAAAAAAAGTTAAAGTCTTTTCTAAAAATTACTAAGAATGCCACCATTTGTTTACTATATATTTTATATTTGTGAAAAAAAATTATAAATATTTTTAGATTTTTATGTTTTTCTAATTTACATATAAAAATATTGTTGTATTTATAAAAGTTCTGTTAGATTAAAATAAATATAATTTACAAATAAAATCCAATTATTTGTAAAAGTACTGTTTTGGTATAATATATTGAATACTGTTTTTAGAAAAGATAAAAAAAATATAAAATAGTCAATACAAAATAGCACTTTAATAAATATCAACAATACTTTTATATGTAAAGTGTAAAAATATAAAAATAAAAAAATACTTATAATTTTATAAATACCAACAATACTTTAATCTCCTTCAAAATAATTACTGTTAGGATTTCAATACTCAAATTAATAATTTTTAAAATTACTTTAATACGTTCTTGAATATAACTAAATTAAAATAAAATTTAATTTGATAATAATTAAAGATAATTCTAAATTTATTAAATTGTCACAATTTTATAGTTAAAAAATATTAGATAAAAAATATTAGTTAATATCCAAAGGTTGTGAGGAATATGGCTTCTTTCAGATCACCAATCATGGAAAATCCCAAGAATTATGTGACAGAATGATGGCTGTTATCCCTGACTTCTTTGAATTGCCACCCGAAGGAAAGGCACCATTCTTTACAACTGATCACACCAAGCAGGTAAAACTTTTCAGTTACTTCGTCAAAGATGGAAAGCCAAAACAAGGTTTCCATGTGGAGTGAATGCTTTTCTCACCCTTGGCATTCCTTGGATGATATCCTCCATCTTTTTCCAGAAAATCCAACCCAATACCGGTTAATTTGTCTTCTGCTGTGTCTCCTAACTTTTATATATGGTACTCTCTCTCTCTCTCTCTCTCTCTCTCTCTCTCTCTCTCTCTCTCTCTCTCTATATATATATATATATATATATATATATATATATATATGCTTCCTTCTAGTTGTAATCTTGAAGGGCTGGGGTTGGAAAAGGATTGTCTCAAAAAGAAGCTTGGTGAGAAGTCTATTCTTCAAGCACAGGGAAACTACTATCCACCATGTCCAAACCCTGCTTACATTGGGGCTAAACGTTCATACTGATCTTAATGCACTCACAATTGTTAGGCCAACAGAAGGAGTGACTGGACTCCAAGTGATCAAAAATGGAAAAAGGGTAGCAGTTGAATCTATCCCCAACGCATTTGTCATTAACCTGGGCGATCAGATTCAGGTAATTCATATGTTTCACAAATTCAGGAGTAAATTTTATCATTTTTTTTATCCTTTTCATAATCCTTCAGTATCAATAGAATTTGGACCAAAATTGTCAGGTGAGCCTTTGATGGATATAAACATGGTAAATTCTGTCCAAATTCTAGCAGTATATCGACAAATAAATTATTCGAAAGGTAACAAATAGAACAAAAAAATGACTTTTTTTTCCTAAGATTTCACATGAAAATGAAACAATGAGAAAAATCATTAACTATTGATGCAATTTACTTCAAAATTTTCATATTATGATATGCTTAAATCTAGACAAAATCTGTGATAGTTCCATGCCACGGGCAAAGTTCTTGGATTCCCTTCTACCTTCTACTACCTAACAGTCTAAACCTAAAGGCAGTTTAGGACGATAGAAGTATAGAATTTATTAGCAACTCTAATAAACTATTTCTCCCAAATAATTAAATTTGCTTGCATTCTTCTCGGTATTAAAAAAAATTATATACATTTAGTTTCCAAATCTTTGGACTCTAGTTTTCATTTTCTGTCCCAGCGGCTGAGATTTTGTTTATATTTTTTTATGAAAAAGCAGCAGCTTCGAAATTGGGAAAAGGATTGTTAATATTGAAATTTCAATTTCAAATTTGCTGGATATCATCTTGTAAGAATATTTGTATGAAGGAACTGAATTAAGATTCGGAATATGAAATTTTGTTTATACGTAACAATCACCAAAAGATTTATGATGTGTGGATGCATTCAGGTTCTGAGTAATGGAAGGCACAAGAGCGTGCACCACAGGGCCGTGACCTATAAAACCCAAAACGGGTATCAGTGGCAACGTTGTATGATCCGAGCAGAGATACGCTTTTATTGGTCCCATTCAGGATTTGATTGACCAGCAACATCCTCCGGTATATAAGGAATATCAGTACTCAGAGTTCCTTGAAGAATTCTTCAAGCAAGAAGGAACAAGGCGGATGGTGACTGAGATTTTTGAGTTGAAACATTATTAAAGAATAGAAGCTTAGAACTATCCTGTTGTTTATTGTTATATTGAGTATGTGTTCTGAAACTAGTATTATATCATCCAAATCTTTAACTCCTAAATTATCATTATTGCAGTGATTTTAACTTATGTACATGGTCCAACAGAAATCTGAGTTGAGCCCAAAATTCCTCTTTCAATTTGATCCTAGTCTATTGGGCCTAAATCAGTTGGACTTCATGGCCTAAGTCCGTTTTCTTTAAGCCTTCTGGATTCATGGCCTGTTAAGGATTTAGATTTCCCCTCTTTGAATGGAGCAGGCTACCATGATATTTGAATGTAATCCAGTGGAATCGAAATGATATAATGTTAGATTTGAGTTCAGCATGACTCGAAAAATTAATTTTCAGCTCTTGATTTGAGCTTGATTGAACTTAATCGTCATGATCGAGTTTGGTTTGTAATTTAATTGAATTATTCGTGTTTTAATTTATAAAAATATAAATATAAATATTATAATTTTGTTATATTTTTATATATTAAATTATTTATAAAAAAACTTGATTAAACTAAAAAAATTTTTAAATTAAATATTAAATTATTTAAATTCAACTCAATATGTTATTCAAATAACTCAATCTTAAATTTAGCTCAACATTAATAAGTTAAATTTAATTTTTTAAAATCGAATCCAAATAATTCATGATTAATTTCACTTTGTTTAAACCCAAAGGACATCAAATTTTGAGATGAACAATCAAATTATTTTAAATTTTGAAAAATTGAAGTTTGTAAAGTAAAAAAAAAAAAAAAAGCATATGACAAAGCCTATAAAACAATGAAAATCCTGAAAATCTCGAACCCCGTTTCATCAGTATATTATCAAATAAAAAAAGAAGTTTTCGAACCAACATAAAGGAAAGCTTTCAAATCAACAAGTCACTTTCCTGGCCGTCGGATTCACCTATTTGATGCTTCCATTTTTATACTAAAAGAACCAAACCAAGTACCAAGCACTTGAAAGGACCACCTCTGATTTTCTGTCTCTAAATCATAATCGTTATATGGGCAGAATATCCGTAACTTAACACGTGTCAATTATTGAGTGGCAGCAGATGCTTTCAGCTTCCATAAACAATTCTCTGCGATCAAAAATCTCAGCCGTCTACTTTTGAACCAGCATATCATCTGATGTGCCGGCGTATCTCGTCTACGTTACTTTCACCCACATTTGGCAACTTTTTATTATAATTATACGTTGACAATCATAATTTTAGAATGCGTTTGGTCCCGAAAAATTTAAATTTTTTTTAAAAATTTTGATGATGGATATTCGTTTTTATGTTCAAAGTAATTTGATTATAAAAAAAAAAAATTTTTTAATAATATTTAAAATCTTGAAATTAAAATTTTATTTTTTTATAATATTTTAATATTTTTAGGAAAAAAATTATCTTATTTTTTAATTTGATCTAAAAAAATTTGTCATACATCTATTATCCTTTTAAAAATAATTCTAGAAATCAATTTTTAGTTTTTAATTTAATTTTAATATGTGATAATTAAAATATTTGTAAAATGAAACATCTTAATTGATATTAATTATGACGTTTACTGAAAACACTATATTAATATCAATTTAAAATGTTTCCATCCAATAATATGTTATTTGTATCAATTAAAATGTATTTCTATAAACATTTTAATGATATTTTTTTCAAAAGCAGTTCAATAAAGTATTTTTTTAAAATAAACGCTTTATTTGAATCATTCAAAATTGGCGTTTTTTTTTTACAAATATCTTATTTGATAGATAATTTTTTATAATTTTTACAAAAACAAATAAGACGTTTTTTTTTAAATAAATATTTTATTTGATTTTTAACATATTTAAAAATGCAAATAAAAGGTTCAACTCTTCCAAACGCTATAATTATTTTTTCTAAATTTTAACATAATAATTATGACTTGATATTTAGTTAAACACGAATATATTTAATAAAAAAATTAAAATATTTTTTTTGTTAAAGATATCATTTATAGTTAGAGTTTTTTTTATTAGAACAAAATGAAAAGTTACTTATAATTTATCAAAAAAATTATGATAATTATATATGAATTAACAAATTAAAATTTTCTTAACTTAATGAGTGAATTTAATTACGAAATATCATAAAAATCAAATAAAATTTTGAATATTATATTTTTTTTAAATTTAAAATTTCACAAATCAAACGTTATCTTTTAATATAAATTACTTAGAATTAATTCATATTTTTGCAAATAATTAATAAATATATAATTGATTATTTGATTTATTCATATATAAAAATTGAAAAATATAGATTTTCATCAAAATTTTATATAGTTGACTGCTTGATTAAACAACATATTTGTATAAGATATATACTCCTTAAATTCTCTGACGCAGCCTAGGCTCTCCTCGCCTTTCTAGGACATCATGTTCCCTTCTGATGTAGCATGATGTTTTTGTTCATTATGCAAGCCAAAAAAAAAAAGAAAAGAAAATTGCTGCGGCAGAACCTGCATCAAGTTTAATGCAT